CAAGAGAGTTTACTTTTGACAGAACCGAGACGTGCAAGTGTTTATGTTATGTAATGTAACTTATTGTACTAGTTTGAACCAAAAATTTGGATTGCACAATAATTTGTTTTTGATTCTGACCTGTAATAAGATGATGTTTCAAACAAAACTGTAACCAGGTCTTGCTTTGATTCTTCTTTCTTTCATCTCTTTCCTCAGTTTCTCTACCTCTGCCCATTTCCCTTTACAAGCTAACACATTCGATAAAGCGACATAATCTTCGCATTCAGAACCTGGTCGCTTGTCCTCCTCTCGTTCCATCTCGAGAAGAGCCTTTCCGATCTCTTCACCCATCACAGTCTCTCCATAAATGATGCAGGCATTGCAGAGACTTCTTAACAAGATAGCATCGGGTTTTATAGGCATAGCTAATACAAACTCATACGCTTCTTGTAACCGTCCTGCTTTACCAAGAAGATCTACTATGCATCCGTAGTGTTGAATAACTGGAGTGACACCGTATTTTGTCTGCATGCTCTGAAACAACTCGAGTCCTTCTTGAAGAAGACCTATATGTTGATAAGCCGAAAGCAAGCTAGTGAAAGTTACTTCGTTTGGTTTAATTCCAGATTCCGCCATTCGGTTTAGAAGATTCGGTGTTTCGTTTCCTCTTCCGTTGAGAGCTAGCCCTGTTGCCAATGATGTCCATGTCAAGACATTCTTCACTTTCATTAGCTCAAACACAGATATAGCGCTGTTTAAGCAACCGCATTTCGAGTACATGTCGACAAGTCCAGTACCAATAAACACATCAATTTCGGGTGTGAAACCGAGTTTTTCAATGTAACCATGAACAAGAGAACCAATTTCGAGCAAACCCGTCTGCGAAATGGCTGAAAGAACACAAACCATGGTTGTATCAGTAGGCCTAACTCCATAACTACCACAACAGGAGAATCTTCGAAACAGAATCATAGCTTTTCTCGCATTGTGATTCCCTTTATCCTTATGTGAACAATAACCTCCGATCATTGCGTTCCATGTAACAGAAGTTCTCTCAGGCATTTCGTCGAACACCTTCCTCGCGTAACGTAAATCCCCATTCTTTGCATAGAAATGGAGTAAAGTGGTTCCAATCAATTCAGATTCATAGAGAAACCCAAGCTTTATCACCATCCCATGAACAATTCTACCAACCCGCAACGCCGAAGCTGATCTGGCACAAGCACCAAGCACGAAGACAAACGTGCGCTCATTGAGATAAAGCAACGATCTTTTCGATGCCCAATCGGCGAAAATCCGAATCGAGTCCTCTGGTTTACTACATTTAAGCAATGTGTTGAAGAGAAACTTGTCGGGATGATTAAATCGAGGGAACACCAGTAAATGAACAAGCTTGGAGCTTTCTGTTGATTGCTTCGAACAGTAATGGCTTATGAGTTTGCCGAAATGAGAATTGCCTTCGCAGCCATTGATTATCAACTGAGCATGGATTTGCTTTGCCTGAATTAAGGTTTTCGAATTCTTGTGCAACAAGGACAAAAATCTTGGTCCAGGAAAAACAGAGCTCATACTCTGTAATGGAGAAGGGAAACAATCAACAACACATACCCATCTTCATCATATCCTCTTTTCGTGGTCACAAAGTGTTGATACCAAATTTGATGGAGATCAGGTATTTACAAACTTCTAAAAACTTTCTTAAACCCTAAATTCTACTCAAACAATGAGTTTCACTCCGAGGTTATAGATAATGAAACAACATATCCACATCGAAAAAACACCTGAGAAAAACGCGACACTGACGCAATGAC